TATATTTTAAAACCACACGTAAATATTACGACTATTGCCCTTGTACAATATACAAAATGATTGGTATAGAGATTTGTTCGGTAATTTATGCATGTGTTTTGTAAAATAAACGAAAGTTTTCATAAATTGTACTGAAAAAATACCTTACGAAACTCCCTTTGTTATATTTACGAATGATTCGTAAAATCTTGTTTCGTTGTGAAAAATGTGTTCGTATTATGAGCGAAAGTTTCGTACTTTGGACAAAAACTGGGACTACGAAAGTTTTTCGTAGCATTTTTACGAAATTTTATTTTCAGTGTACACATAAAACGTATATGAAAATTGTTTTGTACATACATACGTACATACTATGGCTACCAAGGGCTTGTTCGAAAAGGGTGAATAAAAAAATTAAAATATTCGCTAACGGATTGAGAGAGAGAGGTCCTTGTCCTGTGGCAGTCGGTTTCAAGGCACACACACACACATCAGTATGTAAAGTTTTTAAGACAATAACAATAAGTTGGTCTGCCGGCTTGTATTTCATTATTATTGGCTAGTTCAATGACCGCAATCGCCGTAGTGTGTATTATTTGTTTGAACATATTAGATAAAATGTAAAAAAAAAAATTAAATAAGTATTTCAACAGGTGGGTTTTGCTCTTGCCACTACTTATTTAGGTATGTACTATGTATATGTATGTATGTAACCAATCCATATTAAACGTAACGACGATGGCGCATACATAGTCCTATTTCATATTAAAACAGGCGACAATGAAGTCAGAAAAATACTTGATAAATTATGAAAGTGTCAAAAATTAGGTATGTATTACTGGACCAACAAATTTTGATACTATTAAAGTCAGTTTTTTCATAAAATCTGTAAATTTTTTCATAAATTATTGTGAGTAAAAGATAATGATATTTTTTTTAATCAAAATATTACGTATTTTGTAGGCCCGAAACTTTGTTAAACAAAATTTCACAGTGAAAACTTTTTGTCAAATAAATTTATTTTCTTTTAAAAACACAATCGTTATTTTATGTGAAGTGATGAAAAATGTTTTCATAGTTTTGAACCGAATTTTGGAATAGGGCATTCTTGAAAACTTTTTGTGAGCGTTTTCGAACTGGCTCTCGAGATAGGTCGATCATCCACTTAGCCCTCGATATGTGTGTGAATATTAAATAATCAAATAAATCAACTTTGAAAAATATTTTCATTTTTATTTTCCAACTTTCCTGAAACTATCTCATATAACCAGACGGAGGAAACGGCAGAGCTCCTAAGTAGACCAGCGTATAAGGCAGGCATCGAGTGCAAGTTGAAACCCCATACTTGACAAATGAAATGCTGAAGAAAATAATCCGACTGCTGTGCGAAAAAAGGATGACTCTGCGAAATGCGTTAAATGTGGAAAGCCAGGCCAACAGAAACAACAATTCGGCAGGACGCAAACGTAATTTAATGCCCCATAATCTCCATCTCATAAATAGGCAGCAACGTCACTGTTGGTGTATATGTAGAAGGAGAAGAGCGCATCACATTCCATCATTCGATCTGATTTGGTCACTAAATCCAAGTCTAGAGCAAGGTTAAGAACAGCAACTGGATTCAGATTCCACCGAAGTCAGAAGCAATTGCTTGAGCGAAGATTGATGAAGATTGTGGGTTGTTGAAGCAACAAAAAATTCTACACTGGACGTACTTATTGGTAAAACCCTGGCTAAGACGCACAACGCTGGACACATTCCAGTTCGAGAACCTAATGAGTTTTAATCACCAATCCAATTTCGAAGAGGAACTGTACTGGGACAATGTCAAGAGGTGGAGGCCATATTCAACTGCGAAAAGCTACCTGGAAGCGTTTCCATTAATGTGAATGACATTGCGGAAGACATCAATGTATGGACGAAAGGTTTGGAAGGAAATCACGAGGCTAAGGAGCTTCACCGCAGATACTCCAACATATTCGACAAGGATGGCAACAAACCAGGCCGGACCAACTAGTGATGCAGGACCAATCTGTCAAGCTTTTAGGAGTGTTCCACCTGCCAGACGTGAAGTTGTAAGTCAGACCATTAAAGAAATGATCGATAGTGATGTGATGTTTGATCAGCGAGCCCATGGAGTTCGCCGGTAGCACTTGTAAAGAAGAAGGATGGCCAAATGCGGTTCCGCGTGGAATACTGAAAACTAAATGATGTGACAAAGAAGGATGGCATCCATTGCCCAGAATCGATGCTACTCTCGACTCGCTGACTGGCACGAAATGGTTCTCAAGACTCGACCTTAAATGAGGTTATTGGCAATCAGATATACGAGAGGAAGACAATTCACGGTGATGCCCTTTGAATTATGCAACGCCTTAGCCACTTTTGAAAGAGTCATCATCCAATTCCAAAAAAGTGCTCACGGTTGAAGATAAAGGGTACATAAGGTACATCTCCATCACTAAGGGGAAATCGCACTTGCACGAGCAACGAAGTTTGATTGAACTATGCAGTTATTATCTGAGTTCCGAATTGTGTCAGCGTTACTATTAGACTCCAAGAGCTCACTATGAAATAGAACAGAGCCTTCGAGTGGAACAAAGAGCAAAAAGAAGCTCTGAAGGAACGGATATGTACTATCCCTATGCTAGCGTACCCGGTACTAGGAGCTCCATTTGATTTGGGTACGGATTCTAGTGGTTATACCATAGGAGACATATGATGGACAGGAGAAGGTGGTTGCCTACCACAGCCGATCTATTGGAGAACCAGAGATGAATTACTTCTTAACTCATGGAGAACTACTAGAGTTGGTGGAGTGCATCAAACATTTCCACAAGTACTTCGATGGGCTACTTTTCCGAGTTCGATCGGTGGATTGAGAGATTGCAAATGTTATGACTTCACTGTTGAGCACCGAAAGGCAAGTAAGCATGCACATAAATGCCGATGCCATGTCCCGTTGACCATGTAGCTTGGAATTTAAACACTGCTCAGAAGCCGAGGCCAAAGAAGACATAATTGACACCAGCGGAAGAGTGGCCGGCAGGACAACTAGGGAAATGTCAGTCGTGCTGTACAATCCACAGCGGAAGAAAGGTTTATTTCCGAAACTACAGTACAACCTATCAGAATTAGGTGGAGGGCTGTGTGAAGAATGTAGAAGCTTCGACGTCAAGAAACGTAAAATGCAATGTTTGAAAACTTTCGACAAGAACCTTCTAGAGTTGTCATGAGTGCGAGTGCAGGTATATAAGAGCTGAACATGAAGTTCAGCTGCGAAGTTTAGTTTTAAATCAGAGTACAGAGATCAATTGCGTTAGCAAGTATTTTTAATTTTTGTTATTACCTAATTATCTAAACAAATATTGTTACGTGTTTCTTGGGCAATAAAGTTATTGGTACTGTAATATGAGCGTTTATTAAGCAATGCGATGAAACGAACTTGAACGATTTGGGAATTCAGCGATTAATTCAAGGAAAATCGTAACGTACCTTCACAAAAAAAAAATCGCTTCAACGATTTTGCTTTTGTTTTTAATTTTTTTCGGAAGTGGCAACCGCGCTCCGCGTCTACTACCCTGTACAAGCAATTGATGTAAATTTAGATTTGTTTATCACCCTGTAAATCTATTACATTTCGTTGTGCCAGTTTTTCAAACAATAGCTTTTTCTCGTTCTAACGCATGTAATCGTCGATAGGTGTCAAAAATGAAAACGTATTTAAACTGTGATTTTGAAACGTCGCTCGCGCTAAATTGCTTTCATTTCGTGCCAAATTTTGTGTATCAAATTAATGTGAATCTTTTGTTTGATATTTAATTTTGTTCACTACATACACAAAAGTCAAATGGAGCATGTAAATATAAAGACTCTACAAGTGGATAATTTTAACTGGGACGACATTGAAGTTGGAAATCATGTGCTTGATCATTCGCAAAATTTCTTCGGTGAGCATAGTTCTGTGAGAACAAAACAATTGTTTGATGACAAAATTCTTTACTTTTGTTTGATTCCACCCTTTTTTCAATGCTGTAATGACAGGAAAAAAACATATAAAACACGAACGTCTGGACGAATCGGAAGGTAATATGGACTTGCTCAAAGAAATCGGTAAGTTGTTTAATATAAAGTTGTAATAAGTCATACAATTGTGGTTGTTGCAGATGCCTTTACTTTAGACGATACCTTGAGTGTAATTGAGGATAAGGAGAACTTAAACGTAGTAAGCACTCCGAGATCAACCATTAAAACTCCTTTGAAGGAAATACAATTAACAACATCGGTCGAAGACAAAAAACCCGATGTACAAAAACATAAAATTGAACCAGGAATAAATCCAATTGTAAATGAAGAATGCGGTGAGGTAAAAGAAGCTGTTCATATAAATGAATCGCCAAAAAAATCATCAAACATAACGAATCCCGCAAACCCTATAACTCTTTCCGAATCACTGATTGCCCGCAACAGAGCACGTATCAACCCAGGAGGAAGCAGAAAAATAACTTCTTCGCAAACTTCCTTAAATGACATGGGGTCTATGGTGTCAAAACCAGCTGTATTTTCTGAATCTTTAATTATGCGGAACAAAGCACGAATTAACCCAGGGGCAAAAAAGGAAATGAGTACGCCCATGATGACAGATGGTAGTAGCTGCTCACAGGCCGGCGTAGTCGCCAAACAGGCGTCGGCGTCGGTTCCTCACGCTTATCAGTGCAACGAAGTCTATAAACGTCGAAAAGAAGAGATGTTGCGCACGCGTTTAGAAGAGGAACGAAAAAGGCGTGAATTTCATAGCAGACCAGTACCTAATTTTAGGGCATGTCACAAATCTCTGGAGCAGAAAAAAGTTGTACATGCTGTGACAGTGCCTGTAACGCCTGTCGTTCTCAAAAAGTCTATTGAAGCTGAAGAAAAACGAAAGAAAAAAGTATGTTATATCAAGTAATCGTTAAATGTAAACATAATATTGCAGTTTATATTTTACTTAGCTGGAAGAATTAAAACCATTACACCAACCTAAATTCGAACCGCGGCCAACAACAGTACTGCATGAGGAACCTTTTGTACCCAAGAAGGCGCAAAATGTGTTGGTTGCATGTCCTTTTAATCTTCGTTCAGAGAAGCGGTTACAAGAACGTAAACAATATGATGCGGCAATACTGCGGTCTATGGAGGAGAAGCAAAAACAGGTAGAAATTGTAAGCAAAGCAAACGATACTATTGAAAAAAGTATGAATATTCTTCTTAAATGTTTAGAATTCGTTGTGTTGGTAAAATGTCCCCAGTGAATGTAGACGTTTTAAAGTGTCGTTTGCATTGCATGTATTTTGATGATTTAAAACCGACGCACAAATTCTAATTACTGCAATGTGGCATCAACGCTTATGTCAAAACTTTTTCTTCCATTTTGTTGTACATTCTTGTTACTCAACTGTCATTTTCACTCAAGCAAAAGCTGCATTCATTCTCAATTTACGTTCGAGCTAGTCGCGATTTTAGTTTTTTCTTTGTGTTGTGCTTTATTTACTTCGGTTTTTGTGGCGATATAAATTGTAAGAATTATGTACAATTTACGGAAATCTGCTATATTTCATGTAAATCGATTGGCTATAGTGTTCTCATAACCACAAAGAGCAAAATTCCGACATTTCAGAATGAACAAAAACCGGAAAATTCCAATAGGTGGCGAATGAGTATTTTCGTACGCAATCACTCTTAGCGCCCGCACGATGGAGCTGCCGTCCTGACTGCAAAGAATTTAAAATTTTTGTTAAATCTGTTGCTTTATACTATTTAAATTTGCTCATTTATTTTAAAATATAAATTTTTTGAATATATTCTAACTTTCAAACCTGCTATCCAGCGCCATATTTCAAGGGTTCAGTAAGAAAATTTTTACCGATTAGGTTATTTCAATCTGGTAGCCCTCATTGCGAACACCGTACATGGGGAATGACGAGGGTGAAAATATGTGATAAATGGAAAGCAGAAACGTAATTCAAGCAATTCGACTTTTGTTCATATTCGAGCGTATTTTCATTCCATATTCAAGTACGAGGCAAATATTGCAAAATAACGCAAATCTTTTCGTGATATCTAATTCAATATTTCCGTAATTTTTACATAATTGTTACGGTTTCAATATCAAACAATCGTAAAAAAAAGAAAGTTGATCTTGGACAATTTTTTGGTAAATGTGATTAACTGCTCGAAGTCAAAGAAATCGTGTAACCTACTTCGTAGCTAGCGAACTGCAGGCGTATCTCCGTTCCATCGAGTGCACCGCCTACGTATATACCTTCTATAACATCTTAAACATATCACACTGAGGTTTTTGTAATCGCTGCTAACCACACATTGAGGCGCAAAGTGTAAACCTGTCATCATGGTGGATCGCCTAGTTAACTCGGAGGCCAACTCCAGGCGTATAGCTATGGTAGAAAGCTGCTTTGGTAGCTCAGGCGTGCCTTTGGCAATTCCTGGACGGGTGCTAGTTGGCGAAGGAGTTCTCACTAAAATGTGCCGCAAGCGTCCAAAGTCCAGACAATTCTTCCTCTTCAATGATATCTTAGTGTATGGTAATATTGTTATTGGGAAGAAGAAATATAATAAGCAGCATATTATGCCATTGGAAGAAGTGTCACTTGAATCATTAGAAGATAATGGTCAATACCGAAATGGCTGGCTCATACGTACCACAACAAAATCTTTTGTTGTTTTTGCCGCTACCAGCACTGAAAAGCAGGAATGGATGGCACACATCAACAAGTGTGTGGAAGATTTGTTGCGCAAGAGTGGCAAGAAGCCCGTTGAAAATCACGCTGCCGTATGGGTGCCTGACGCTGAGGCCACCCACTGTATGCATTGCAAGAAAACTCAATTCACAATGATCGTACGTCGTCATCATTGTCGTAATTGCGGTGCAGTCGTTTGCGGGCCTTGTTCGTCGAAGAAATTCCTATTACCTCAACAGAGCTCTAAGCCGGTGCGTGTGTGTACCGCTTGCTATGAACGGCTGTCTAAAGTCGTCAAAATAGAATCGTCCAAAACGGCTCTTGGAACTACTGCTGGAAACCAAGGGACACCTGCAGCGTCCATCGATGGTAATGGCGCTGGTGCAGTAGCGAAATTAGCTGATAGTTCTGGGGATGATGATTCCGACGAGGAAGGCGCTGGCAATGTTAGCGAAATGCACGATGAACCACGTTTCTACGGTGATACAACTTTGTCGGCTGATGAATCTACAGCATCATCAGCGGCGCTCAATTCCAGCCACACACCCAGTGTTAACAACTGATGCGTGCAGTCAACTGCGTTGGTGGGGGGTTTATTAGAAGAAAGCGGTGACGGGCATGGGGACAAATGCCGTCACAATGTCAGATGTAGCGGTGGGTGTGACGATATAAAGCAAAGCAAGCAAACAAAAATTCATAAAATAAAACAGAAACAACAAAATGAAACAACTGAAACAAACCAGCCAGAACAGCAAGAGGATGGACGTAATAAAAAGGTGTGGCACTTCGTCTGGCAACGAAAAGGATTAACAAAAATATTCTTCCCTGGAAATGGTGAGATAAAACATGAATATTTTTCTTTAAATTCCAATAGCAGTAACGAACATTTCCATATTCATTCATACATACCTTCTCACTATTAAGATTAATTTATTTTGTACATCTGTCTTGCTGCAGTCGTCGTCGTCTGCTTGTCGCAGTAAAACAATTTTCAATTTGCATAATTCATTTGCACACCACTGCTAGTGGCTGCGATTTAAGCATTGTAATTGTAGCTGGCATCATCAAATCTGCTAGAGACTTGAATAATCGCACATTACTGCTTAATACGTATCGACCTAAGCGGGGCGTAGTAGTACCACTACAAGAATAACAACGTTCAAAAGTATTGAGTTAATCTTATCTGTACATGTTTATTAGCAAACAAGTTGCTTTATTGGGTTCTCAGAAGAATTGCCTGTACTTGCGTCTA